CCCCCCTGGGCTTTTGTCCCCTCCAAGGATACCCCCCCTCCTACCTACCCCACCCCGCCTGCCCTCCCTTCCCCGAATAACCTAAACAATTTACTTGCTGTACGAATGTACGTACCTTCTCCATGTGCAGATCGCCAGTGGGTCCCTGATAACCCATTCCATCAATTTCAACTGCCTGCAGGCGGATGTACTGTCATTGGAGATACTACCTCTATAATTGCCTTAAATGTTGTTCTGATGTTATTGTTCATGTAATGCATATGTTCAGTGGCTGTGTCCACTCCCTTTGAGATGGGGCTCGGTTCCCCTTGTGTAAACCTTTTTGTTTATTTGTATAAAAAATTGTTAAATAAAAGAATTTATAAAAAAAAAAAAGAAAAGAACATATGTCGCCAGCACACCATGGACCCATAGTTAATACCGTAGTCCAAACTTCCAAAAGTTTATTAACACTGTCGCATAACAATAAATGCAAGTGCAAAATTTCCAGGCTGTGCAGTCATGCCCGAAAAAGAGGGCCTGCAAGATTCTTCTGTAATTTCATTTCACTTTGTTACTGAGGCCTAACATCTCTAGATTTCATGACAAAGCCCCTTTAAAATACCATTCAGTTGGCTGATGAAACTGCTTCAGTGGCTAGCGGAGGCTATTCTCATTAGACAGTGGATGGTCTTTGTGGCTAATAAAGGTATCAACAGATATTTTGTGGTGTCGACTCTTAAGGTGCCCACACAACTTACAATTTATCTGCAGATTTTCTGTGGTCAGATGGAAAAAGTGCAACAGATTGGCCCAGGTGGAGATTACTCCATCCACACAGTTAAGTGTAGATGGAGGAATCTGTTGCACCTTTTCCATCTGACCACAGAAAATCTGCAGATAAATTGTAAGGTGTATGGCCAGCTTAAGACAGGACTATTACTTTTAAACATTTAAGATTGACTATAGGGACAATTTTACACTGTCATGTTGATGCTTGTTACATTGCTTAATCTGATACATCATTTTCGTTCTCCTTATTTATAGGAGTATGTTTCGCCAAGGTTTGGTTGTTGGAAGTAAACCTGTAATTCATCCAGTATTATATTGGCTACTCCAGAAAACAAATGAGTTGAAGAAGAGAGCTTATTTGGCCCGTTTTCTGGTAAAATTAGATGTTCCTACAGAGTTCTTAGAAGATGATGCAGTGTTTGAGACCAACAAGCAGGTAAGGCTTTTATGTAATATAATAATTATATAATAATATTCAGCTATCATATATTTCTTAAATATTGGCTTACGTGTTCTTCATTGTCTATTCTGTTTGCATAATTTTTGGCCATTGTGTTTGACAACACAGCAGACAGCAGGATTTTAAAACGTATGCATTATGAAAATACACTTATCCTACCAGACTAGCAGAGGGAGATGCAGTGCCATGAAGGAGCATGGAGCCGGCTTCCCAGTATCAAGTCAAGTGGTAGATCATGACCCACCCCCGCCTTCCTGATTGGTCATTAAGCCAGGCTGCCCCATTGTGTCATAAGGGAGCATGAAGCCGGCTTCCCAGGCAATAGGGAAGCTGGGCCCACGCTGCCTCGGGATGCCGGTATTTGCACTCGGTATCGGTACTCAGTATAAAAAAATATCAGTACTTTTACTTGAAACCAAGAAACCGGTATTGGTGCATCCCTACTTTTTATTAAAGGGACTAGGCAGGCAGCATAAGTGTACTTTTATATGAAAGCTTGTCTCCAGAAAAACAGTTAAATATGCTGCAGATATTCATATAACTAAACTGCTTTGCTTATCAAAAAAAATATGTAATTGTTCACCTACTCTTGTGATCTAATTTAAGCTTAGTCACCAACCTGCCTGTGACTGGACATTGAAGGATAGGACCACTCTGCTGCTATCAATCTGCTGTTTTTCTTAACAACATGTTAAAAGCATTTGGCTGATTTGCACTACCAATTGACAACTAAAAGACTCCAGCACAGCACAGCCTTTCTGTTGAAAGCTTCCCTATCGGGTCCTCTTCTTTCTGTGCATGTGAACCGCTGGTGGCTGCCATAGGTATGGCTCTTGAGGGTGAACAGGGCATGTGCAGGGCAAGTTGCACATAAAGTAGCAGCAGCAAGGTATATACATGTACAACAGGTGTGACTACACAAAGTAGTCACAGGCAGGTGGACAGGCGTAGTGGTTAGCGCTTTTGCCTTGCAGCACTGGGGGTCCCCGGTTCGAATCCCGACCAGGTCACTTCCTGCAAGGAGTTTGCATGTTCTCCCTGTGCTTGTGTTGGTTTCCTCCGTGTACTCCGGTTTCCTCCCACACTCCAAAGACATGCTGGTAGGATAATTGGCTCCTTTCTAAGTTGGCCCTCTATGTATGCATGCGGGATAGGGACCTTAAATTGTAAGCTCCTTGAGGGTAGGAAATTATGTGAATGTGCAACTATGTGAAGTGCTGCGTAAATTGACAAAAAAAAAGTGCGTCAGAAAGGAATGAGTGCAAGACGGTAAGGAATGAGTGCAAAAAACCCACAAGAGCAACAATACATTGGGGGGAATTTATCATAGCAATTGCGAGTGTTTGAACTTACACGGAATATATTTGATGCACTTTGCTCCATGTTACTGTAATGTTGTTCATAAATGAGGTTTAATAGACTCCAGGAAAGAAGACTCCTAACTCCAGGCAAAATTCTTAACTGTCGCTTCTTGAAGAAGTGGTCATGGGGACTTCTTAAGTTGTGATTGTTTTTTTAGGTGATCCTCCAGTTTCAGACAGCCGCAGAACAAGTAAACGGTTGCGAACTTTCGTAAAACAGGCGCAAAACACGCGCAATTGGAAAACTAGTGCAAGCTCTGATCAAAACTAGCGCAATTGGATAACTTGTGCAAGCTCTGGTCAGAACAGGCCAAAACACGTGCAATTTGAAAACAGGCGCACATGTTAAAAGACAGATTTGCACATAAAAAATGATCTAAGAGGCTAAAACTGTCGCAATTGCTTTGGTAAATTTCCGCCATTATCTAGAAGTATCGCACCAAGACATGAAAGCTGCCAACTCACCCTTGTGTGGGCACAAAACAGTCACAGGATCCAGGTTTTAAGGAGTTTATTGAATCATTTTGAAAAGCTGGAAGTTTTTGGTGATCATTACACTTTTAAATCTTGCCTTGTCTTCTGTAAAATGAAGAATGAATGATTTCCAAGATGTGCCATCTTTATTAATTTTTCAATATCTGCTCTTTTTATAAGCTAACAAAGAGCTGAAAACGTAATTTTGGTCCTGTTTTTATGATAAACACTTCCATCACATAGATGCTGTCAGACGGTTAAAAATATACAAAAACTGCAATGGAACAAGTTACATTGAAATTACAGTATTAAAGAGGAAAAGATTTCAGTGAGCAGATCTTTAAAAACAACAGGAGCATGTTCTACAGTGGACAAAAAGTACCCGCTGCAATTGGTGTGAAATCCTATAGCTCGCCAGCCTCTCTACGCCTACATTCCACCACAAGGGTCCTGTATCTGTTTGTCTTAATACCATATCAAGTATGCCGTTTCAATAACAGGCTGTGCAAAGCAGAATGTTTTTCTGCTCACTTAAAGGTTACAGAACACGTTTTATAGCAGTTGTGAAAGTGCACAGCCTGCCACAAAACTGATACTTACAAGCACCAGCAGATAAGAATTCTGGAGGTGCAAATGATCTTATTACATGCCCATCATGTGTTAATTTTATATGAAAGGTGATTGATCATTGGTCTATTACTCTTACCGGTATATCATTTCTTTCATGGTGCTTTACTTATTATACATGTAAATAACACCCTCCCGATGACTGGCATTTCCCAGTAAATTCATTTTGGAGTGTTTCCTGATTTTTATCAGTTGCTGAATATTATCTGGAGTCCTGGAAGTCTTCCCAGCTTGATGTTTACATGGCAATCTGAAACACAATTCCTAAATGATAGACATATTTAAATGTCATGTACTTCTTTAAAAAGCAGAATTTAAATGTTGCAGCGGTATTCTTTTTTGTTCTAGAACAGAGCTGCGACAGGAATGCATTTAATATTTTTTGATTTTATGTTAATGGAAACATTTTAGGTCAAAGAGAAAAGTGTACATCTCTGACCGAGAATTTTAACATTTTGTTGTACAGCAGTCAAGTCCCGGAATTGCTTTGCTGCTAGCACAGTAGCCTGTCCCCATTTGTGGCTGCTAGTGAGAGGTTCTTTAGAGAGCTGAAATTTACAGGGCTATTCACAAAAGGGTGAAGGGTTTGGAGAAGGCAGGGGAAGTGACAAATCTGGGACAACATAGTGAGCTGAATTGGAGAATGTTTCCAGTTCAGCTATGTTGGCCTAGATTGTTCACTTCTCCTGCCTTCACCAAACTCTTCACCCTTTTGTGAATAACCCTATTAATGTTGAGGAATGCATATGGTAGAGAAGCGCAGAGTTGATGATTGTGGTGCGAGCGCACTGTGGTCCTTCAAGACAGAGCAAGGCGTTCTGTGTTGAAGGCTCACTGCTGCTTGCTCTTGTGACAGACCTGAGAGCCTCCTGTGCTACAGTTGCATGGGCAGCCAGCCTGGGTAGAGCACTGAACACCGTTTGGTTTGGGAAATCCATCAAGGGGCACCCTGTTAGTCAGGAACTGAAATCATTTCAGTTAGTGGCTTGCATGAGCAGACGTTTGATAGTTTTATGGTATGGACTTGCTGTACAAAGCCCCCCTGCATTTAAACTGTTTACTGCTTTGCTGAATAAACGCGCAGGACAAACCTGCTTGCACTGTTCCTTGGTGTCCCTATCTCGTGCATGGTTTACCACTGCCTCTACCAGTTAATCCTGTCCACTTTGCAGTATGTTTTGTTAAGGTTTGGTTTAACATAAACAATGTGTGTTTTTTTTTTTTGTAGTATGAAGAACTTATGGAGAACTTCAAAACCCTTCATAAAGATTGTGAGCAGCTTAAATCATCAGGCTTCTCCACTGCAGAGATTAGACGGGTAATGTCTGCAATATGCATATATTAAAAAAAAATGTTTATTTCTGCCAGCTACTATTTCTCTGGACAATTCTCAGGCCGCAGAGTCTTTGGATGCCTCTTAGGCATTAGATTATCGCTTCTAAGTGACAATTGTAAGCTCGGGCTGGCTATGAGCAGAGCACCCTAAGAACTTATTGCTTGAGTGTCTCTGTAGTTAGCACAATTTGAACATTTGTGTGTGTGTGTGTGTTTCACCAGTCAGCATGACCAGACTGTAGCCTTGCAATATTTGCAATTTATGTTAACATTCTTTAGGGACAAATAGAGCTTTCTTTTGGAGGTATATAATCATCACTGGGTTGTTTTTTTTTTTTTACTATATAAAATTAAAAAGTCCTGTAAATTTAGAAAAAAAAAATGTTTTCCCTACGTTATGTTAAAAAGCATCTATTCTTACCCATATTTTTGGTAAAATATAAAAGATGGGGTCACGTCGGGTAAATAGACACTAAACATGTCAAGCCTTAAAATTGCGCACACCCGCAAAATTGCAAAAAATGACCACACCGAAAATTGGCCATAGGCGACGCTTTAAACGCTTTTACTGCTCATCAGTTTAGTGTTATCAGTGATTAATGGCCCGAGAATAATTACTCACTCCAACGTTTGCAGTGATGTGTAGCATGTGCGGCACAATAGGCGCAGTCATCATTTTCACACTTAGGCGCGCCCGACGCATGTTTGTATGTGTATGTGGGGGACGGGGGACATAAAAAACAAATGTGTTATTTTTTTATTACTTTTTTTTTTTTTGCACTTAACTTTATTGCTATAACATGGGGGGATAAGAAGCCCCCTATGTGATAGCCAATTTACATGACAGGTCCTCTTTATGGAGACATCAGGGGTCTCCAAGACCCCTAATGTCACCTAGGGACCCCCAGAGAAGCTGATTAAGCAGAGATCTGCTTCACCAGCTTCTGAAGCTGGAGAGTGACAGCAGAATGCAGAAGTGATATAATATACATCACTTCCTGCATTCGGAGACTGGAGAGGAGATCAGAGGGGAGATCATGTACCGATCTCCTGTCACAGAGCCGGGGATTTCGGGACCGGCAACAGCAGTGACAGCTGCTGCTAATACAAGCGATCGGGCGTCTCTAGAAACGCCCGATCGTTTGAATGTAAAGCTCTCGGCTGGCCGTTTAATTACAACAGCCGGCTGGGAAGCTACTCATCCGGCTCCGGCGTCCTC